AAGAGAGAAGAATGAAAAGAGAAGCAGGAGCAGGAGCAGCAGGAAGAGAAGGAAAGAGCAGAGAGACGAAAAAGAGAGATGAGAGAGATGATGACGAGAGAGAGAGGAGAGAGAGAGAGAGAAAGATGAGAGAGACGAGAGAGAGAGAGCAGAGAAGAGACGAGAGAGAGAGAGAGAGCTGAAAAGAGAAGAGAGAGAGGAGAGAGGGAAGGAGAAGGAAATGAGGAGAGAGAGAAAGAAAAAGTAGAGAAAGAGAGAGACAGATGAAAATGAGAAGAAGAGAGGGAGAGAGGGAAAGACGAAGGAAAGAAGAGAAGAGAAAGAAAAAGAGAGAAAAGAGAGAGGAGAGAGAGAGACGAAGAAGACGAGAGAGAGGAAAGAGGGAAAGAGGGAAAGAGGGAGAGAGAGGGAAAGGGGAGAGAGAGGGAAAGGACAGAGCTAGAGAAAGAGGAGTAGAGCGAAAAAGAGAAGAGAGAGAGGGATAAGAGGGGAGAGAGAGGAAAAGAGCAGAGAGAGGGAAGAGGCAGAGAGAGAGGGAAAAGGAGGAAAAGCAGAGGAACGAAAGAGAGAACGAAAGAGAGAGAGAGAGAGAGAGAGAGAGAAGATAGACGTAGAGAGAGAGAGGAGAGCAGAGAGAGAGGAGCGAGAGAGAGAGAAGAGAGAGAGGAATAACCAGAGAACCATTACAGCACAGGCAAACCACGCACACACAGACATACACACACACACCAGTGTCAAACATACACAGACAGCACACACATACAAGCATACATACAGACACACACACACAACATACACACAGGCCACACTCACCCACACACACACACAACCACAGACACACACACATAAATACATATATCGTGAATGTAAAAACACGAACCACATTGCAAATAAGTGCATATCTATATTCGCTAAAATGGAATTAGATTTTTACAAATATCAATTATAGATAATACATTGACAGAGTATAGGATCCGGTGCCACGGGAGTAGAATCTGATGCGTTCATGTATATGCAATTTAGTCGTATTGTATTCCCTGATGAGAAGGTATTTATAAATTGATTGAAACTGAAATTTTGAAAAGTAAAAAAAATAGAAATGGAAATCATGCATTGCTATGAAATAAAATTGAAATGTAAGAATTTGCATTAACAAATATCATCACAATATTTACGTGGTTGTTATAAAGTAAATGAAAATGCATAAACATATTGCGGGTATTTTATTGTTGCGCCATGTAAAATTTTAAAAATATTAATATACACATGTTCCTGAAAAATTGCTTTCGTAAAATGTAATGAAAGACACACACATAAAGCAGAAGACAGACAAGAGAGAGAGAGAGAGAGAGAGAGAGTAAGAGAGAGAGAGAGAGAGAGAGAGAGGGAGAGAGGAGAGAGAGAGAGAGAGACGAGAGGAGAGAGAGAGAGAGAGAGAGAGAGAGAGAGAGAGAGAGAGAGAGAGAGAGAGAGAGAGAGAGAAGAGAGAGAGAGAATTTCCTCAATCCCAAAAACGAAAAAAAGGAAGAGCCACCTTCGAAAATCCTCTCCCTTCTCTCTCTATACCCTAATTCTGCTCCCGATATCCCCTCAACATACAACCCTCCCTTGCAGTTACCCTTCCACTTTCCCTTTTCTCGTGTGTGTTTTACGTGCAACTTACCTCCACCCCAACCCTTTCCCCTCTACCCCAACCCCCTTCCCCTCTTACTTGAGTCACTCTCTATACCATTACCTTGAAGCATAAGTCTCTCCAGCTATTAACCCTTGTGCATGTTCATGCCTTATGCACCCTTGTCATTAACGTTAGAGCAGACGTTTATGTACACTTACGTGCATGTTTTATCCCTTTGAATGTAAGAAACAAAGGAAATGTAAATAAGGCATACTCATGGTAAACATCATTATATTAACACTACATAAAGATACAGTGAGGTGGTCAATACCACTAACCACTAGGGATATACACTACAGGTAAATTTCTACAGATAAATTCTAATTCATGGTAGTTTTCTGAAATAAAAATAATGATGTTTATCATAGATATTCTAATATTCAGGTAATTTTTCTGAAATAAAATTATGATAAATTATTCATTTTTCATAAGAAATTCATAAGAAAATTGATCATTGCAAATATTATTGCAAACAAACTAATTTGATTGACCTATAGCATGTATATTTTACTTACGATACAATTGAAAAAACAATTCCTGGCAGCATTGTTACATAAGGGAACCTTACGTACTGTACGCAACCAATTGGTTCTACGTGGTTCCTTCTTTGTGCTACAGTGATTGCAACGTCTAAAAGTTGACCCACATTCTGGTATATTCTGTGCCTGATCTAAACGAATTTCCTTGGTGATGTTTTCCTTATACTTCAGACACCTATCCATAAGAGGACTCCTTGATTTTCCATCAAATTCATATAAAGATTTTAGCATATCTGCCTTATCAACATTACCCATATGATGTATATAATCAGCCACAACAGGTGCA